ACACTATTAGCTATCGAAAAATGCACTGCAATTTTAGTTGGACGTATTAAACTTCAATAATGATTTGTTGCAGAGCGCACAAGAGGAAAGTGAGTACAACATTCGTCCCGAGGAGCGTGACGATTCGGGCGCCCTGATGGAGTCGGACATCAAGCTGACCCCGGAGCAGCAGCTTATTCTGGACGCGCGGATTCAGGAGGCGGAAACCGGGAAGAGCGGGCGGAAGGGGACCGCGAACATCGCCGCTAGGTGGTCCGGGAACGTGCCGTACACGCTCAACAGTGCGCTCAGTAAGTTGCCTTTAGCGAAGACGCTTTATGCACTGCTTGTGTGTGTGTGTGTGTGTGTGTGTGTGTGTGTGTGTGTGTGTGTGTGTGTGTGTGTGTGTGTGTGTGTGTGTGTGTGTGTGTGTGTGTGTGTGTGTGTAGTGTAGTCTGCTTTAAATAATGATAGAACCAGAAACGCTAAATTACTCAAGCAACTGGGTATGATTTTGGAAACGGTCAGACGTGTCAGGCAGTATCTACTACCTTTCGTCAGTGACACCGGAGAATTATCAGAAAAGTATGTCTATAGGCACGAACTATTGATTGATCTGCAAATAAGTGAAAGATATATATAGGACCAGAAGTTTTTGATGTTAAATTGTGAGTTGGGCTCCGTCTTCCTCTCTGTTTGAACTCACGCAATCTAGATTTAACGGATGATATCCGTTGGAAACGCTAATATGATGTGAGTGTTTGAATAACAACAATAAGATGCATACATTTTTAAATTAAAGAAACAAATGTTGTAAAGTCTTACAAAAGGCCCTAAATTGTTTTCCGTACACTCAGTCTTCGAATCCATTCACTAGCCTTCCATCCGTCTACCTATACTCACATTCTTCTCCGATGACCATTAAAACTAACCATTAGCCAACCAGAATCATCGTTATAGCTTTGTGAACGTTTAAAAAAAAAGAAAACATCACGCTCCTACCTCCTATAACACGAGACTAGTCATTGGCCAGCCCCGCGCATTGACCTTCCGTGCTACCGAATGACTCCCGACGCTACTTGCGACATCTAACAGCCGTGCAGAATAATTGATGAGACAGTTAGTACGCTCCCTTTTCTCCAGCCGACAATACATCCCCTGGCACACGTAAATCGTGGTTTCGTCAAACAACGGTGTGAAGAAAGATTCGAGTTGACCAGAGCGAAAGGTTGCGTGATCATCTCGCATCACCTTTTTATTGGGGGCGGTCGACGCCTTTTGTAGGCGAAGACTGACGCCGAATGCCATTTAAGCTGGTGGTATTTACAGATATTACAGAGATATACTGGTTTTGTAGTTTTAATGTAATACTATGTTATTTACACCATAGGGGGCAAAAACATATTAAAAGCATTGTATCAGATTGCTAAAAGGTACTAGCGTGCACTGCTTTATACTTTTGCTTCTTTAATTACAAATAGCTCACGGGAATTTGCGATGAAAATCCCTACGCGTTGACTCTATATAACATATTCACCATATTGGTCGTGCAAATTTGATGCCAAAGAATATTTTTCAAGCAGGTTGTGACAGAACAAACCGCCTACAAGTATCTAAGATAGACTTTTCCGTAACAACACAGCTGAATTTTGCAGGCCTAGGACAGATGCGTGACTTTTCCCAAATTGCTTGTTTGAGATCGTGCGCTGATTGTGCGATGATCTTGCGACAATCGTGCGACGATCGTGAGTTGATCGTGCGATAATGGTACGATGTATGTGACCGGGACCTAAAACAACTCTACGCATACTGTCAACCTTGCGCGCGCGTGTGTGTGTACAGTTCCCGCGACGTTCAAATGATGCACGAACAATGGCGGGAAAAAAACTCCCGAGGCAAAACACCATCCGCCTTTGTTCAAGCGAATAATTGGGGTCTCATCTAATATTTAACACAACCCCGCCCATGTCAGTCACCAGCTATTTTAGGATTTTTGTATAGCCATAGGAATAATAGTATTTTGCCAAACAATGTGAGCTAAATCTTATTTTTGGAAGGAAAATGGGAAGGATATGTGTGGTGTATTGAATTAAAGATTAGCTTGAAATGTTGAGTAACAATGACGTTTTAAAAAGTTGTTTGTGTTCAACCATTAACCTTCATGGGGTAACGTCACTCAATGACTCATAATTCGTTCGTTTACATTTCTTTACGCTTTTTACTATTTTTTTTTTGTTTACACTTTATAGCTTACTTTTCTGAAGGAAACATGAACGGGACACTTTTCTTTCACTATAGACCTTACCTGTCAAAAAAGTGCGGATAATTGTCATTTATAAATCGACCGTGTTATCAACTTGTACGTTTAGCTGCGCTCGCTACCTCGGGCGAAATGCAGCCTCTCAGCTGTATAATAGGAGCCGGTTCTCCCAGTGTTTGAGCTTGGGGGACGCCAAAAAAGCATGAAAGACCCCCATTATGCCCCCCAAGGGTGACTTCTACGATCCGTACTGAATATTAAGAACCTCCGAGTCAAAAGCCCGGACCGGGGCAGTTGAAACAGTCTGCTAGGTTTCCGCCAGAGACGCCGGCAAAATTTGCACCGCGGCGGCGCTCCAGTCAGTTTGGGCACCAAGGACGTACGTACCGCCGGGGAACTCAAGTGTCGTCTGACGGGACTGTCAATCATAACGTCTGAGGAAGACTCCGTCAGGTGGTTGTTTGGGACTCTAGCGAAGGTAAGAAATACTAGTAGGCTGATGCTACGAGCTGATGTATGAGGTATTCTTAGGTAGATGGGAATATTCGAGCGATTCGTAATCATTTTAGTGTATTTATAAACTAGTCTGTGGTCATGCAGCGAATATTTTGTGTTAAATTTCGTCTGTCATTCTAGCAGCGTATACTGGTTGTATACTGGTAGGGATTGCAAATGCTATACTATTCAAGTGTGTTGCTAAAGAACTAAAAATCGCACACTACAAATTGTTATACTATCTTTAGCAAATCTTTGTATACGGAAGAGGCATTGTGTCTATGTCTTAGACGTAACACTTCGTTCAGACTTGAAGACGTGTACTTGACTAGATTCAATTATTTTTTTTAGTTTTGAGACCGTAAGTCGGTTACAAGGAGAATGGACAAGGCTCTGGCCTCTGTATTCCGGTATGTGCCCTGTGCGATTTCTCTTGACCCAGGCTGACCTCCTGATATTTACAATTCTCAGCACGTGTGTGTGTGTTCTATAGAGGAAGGCGGAGGTCCTACCGGTCACAAAAACGGCCAAGCTTGGGTCAACCATTATACCTTAGTCTCCATTGTTACCGGTTATCGCATCTTGTTGTTTGTTTTACCACATTTTGGAATCTTTTTTTGGCGTGAATGAGATTTTTTGTATATTTTTCAAAGGGCTTAGAAATCAAGCATTGTGTCGTAGAGTCTACGCTAGCGTCGGTCATGACAGTTGACATTTTGATTTGAATACTAGGCGCTTGACTATGAATGAATCAAGCCTGCCGTTCACACAGGGTGCATGTATTAATAGATTTTACGAAAGCTTTGAAAAACAAACACTTGGGTCTGTGCTAATTATATGCTTGTATTGTGAGTTCTCTGACACCGTTAGTAATAACAGTTGACCTTTTGAATAGCTTTTGGCTATGAATAAATCTAGCCTATGGTTTTAAATAGGAAGTACTAGTAGTTGTTTCTAAATCGATAATACTGAGATTAAAAGAGAACATAAACTTTTTAAATTGCAGGTATGTCAAAGCTATAGAGGCAAAAACAATTAAAATTACAGAGTAGTCTGTATTAGTCAAGATCACTAGTTTATATATTTATCTTGCCTAATCCCTATAATTTATTAGCTATACGATTAACAGTACGCTTCCATAGCTAAGAGTTGCAATGTTTGGGTTCTGTTATCGTTGGATAAAACGGTCCGTTCTTTGAATTGCCCCTCAAGCAAGGCCCCCTTCGCCCCCTCAATATAATTGATTATTGTCCTCATCTTGATTGGTCGACAGAACACGAAATAAATTGAATTTGACAACTAAAAAATGTGGGCAGGACTTTTTAAACGTAACTGCAGCACCGTCTAAATTGCAGTAATTTTGGGGTGTTGAATGGAGCTTGGTGTCTGCTATGCGTTTGCAAAGTGGCGTGTTATTCACCCTCCCATTTTCTATTCCTAATTTAAACACCCACATAATTACGGATTAAGGGTAATACTTTCGTATCACGCCACTGAAACATTTCAAACAAAATGCACACTAACCACAATGGAGTGATACATAACGATATACCCGAATGATCGTGACATTTAAAAGCTAAAGCATGTGAAGGCTTAAATTTGGCGTTATCAATGGTTGGCGTCGAAAATTGTATGGGAAAAACGAGGTAAAATCACTCTAAGATTATCGACTACCATTTGTATTCAGTCAATTTGACAGGGTGTGCCCCAGTTCGGTTGATTTCGCATGCACCCAAATATATTACAATATCGCATGTTGCATGTTTTGAGATATATTTCCAAAGAAGAAATTCAAGACCACACAAGGAAATATTAATTATTTGATACTCAAGCAGCTGGATAGATTTTCAGTTGCTTGAGTTACAGTTTCCTTATGTATCTCATTACCTGGATGTTTAACCTTCATCGACGTATGCAAGACTGAAGTTTTCACAATATATAACAAAGAGTTAGATGCTGACTGACGTGTGATTATTGGTCAATACACAGGTTCATCAACATGGCGTCGTGTTGCCTAGCAACGGTGTTCCTGGTTTTTACACTCCTCCTTCCGAGCGGAGACGGTCAGCCCCACCTGCGGACTCCAGGTGACGTCATCGTCCCCGCCCTCATCCCCATCCACCCAGCTGGTCACGTGCCCTTCACGTGCGGTGACGTCGTGCCGGCTACTAGTCTCCAATTGGTCGAGGCCTTCCTCTTCGCCCTCGACGTCATCAACCGTGACGCCGCCCTGCTACCAGGTGTTCAGCTGGGCGGGGTTCTGATTGACAGCTGTAACAGTCCCGAAATAGCCGCTCTGGAGGTGACGAACTTGTTAAGCGGAGGCTCGGGATATCTCGGTGACGATAAGGATAAAGTTGTTGGATTTGTCAGCGGTGAATCCGACCAAGTTACCGCTGCGGTAGCAAGTGTCCTAGCCTCGACCCAGACGCCTCAAATCAGCTACACGACAACAAGCGCAGCACTTAATGACAATGTGTTGTACCCCTACTTATTTCGGGCTCTGCCAAGTGAAAAGACGCACGGGGCTGTCCTAGCTGAAATTGTGAAGGCCCTGAAATGGACGTATGTGTCGGTAGTCGTTTCAGACGACGTTTACGGATCAACCAATCAGAGGGCATTCCGAAGAATTGCAGAAAACAATGACGTATGCATCTCATCTACACAAACCGTACGTCAGAACAGCACGGACGCTGACCTTGACTACGTCATTTCCGTTTTGAGAAGCAAGCAAGGGGCCAAAGGCGTCGTCTTGCTTCTACAAATGGAGGCTATTCAAAGGGTTTTTGAGGCAGCCATGCGAGCGGGGGTCTCTTCACAGTTTCAGTGGTTGGGCTTTGGAGTGAAGGATGTTCTTGAACTGAATAATTTCGACTCAGTAGCAAGAGGGTCTGTATCACTTGAGATGGAGACCCATGAAATCAACACATTCAAAGAGCATTTGAAAACTTTAAATCCCGCGAATTATACCAGAAACCCATCATTCCGAACATTCTGGGAACAATATTTTCAATGTGACATTTTCCCGGGAAACGGTGCCTTTGGACAGAACTGTACTGGGAACGAGGTTTTGGATGAAAACTCTGGGATCGACCAGGACCCGTTAGTCCTACCGGTCTTCAACGCCGTGTACTCGTTCGCGCATGCGCTGGAAGCTGTCTTGTCTGGAGGCTGTTTGGGTCCTGTCAGCGCATGTGTGGCGGGGAAAGGGGCACGGTTCTTTGAGAAGTTGAAGAGGTTAGGTTTTGTATCCGTCAGCGGGAGTAACTTCAGATTCACACCCGACAGATTTGCCGAGTCGGTGTTCGACGTGCTGAACAACAAGAGGATGCCAGGCGGCACTTTTGCAATGACCAAGGTATGTCAACAACGATCTGCTCTTTATAGTATACTATCCCAGATCTTAAGTTTGCGATAGTATGGCGATCGTACTACGAATGTGGTCGAGCCCCAAGGATGTAAAATTAATGTTTTACAGGATGCGGACAGCGAAAGAAAAAAAAAAGTTTTGTAGTTGTTGTGTACCTGAGTGTATGGTTTGTGATATCACATGTAAAAAAGTGATGATATTCTTTGGTGCACTTGACCTCGATAAAAAAAGTAGTCTTAAAATCCCACATCTTCTCTTTTCATGTTCTGTGACAGGTTGGTCGGTATGCAGGTGGCATCCTACAGCTGAACCCGTCAGATGTCTACACCTACAATGACCAGAACATGCCTGTGGTATCCACGTCCTACTGTGTAGGCACCTGCCCCGAGTGCGCACGTTCCGACGACGTCATCTACATTCCCGGTGACGTCATCATCCCTGCCGCCTTCCCCATCCATTCCGGCCAATCGTCGTCTCCGTTTGGCTGCGGCGCCTTGCGTTCCAAAGCGGTAGTGCAGGACGTGGAAGCGCTTCTGTACGCGTTGGACAAAGTCAACGCCGACAGAGATATACTTCCTACCATCAAGCTAGGAACTGTGGTGCTAGACTCGTGTTCGAGCGGAGTAAAAGCCGTCAAAGACGCTTCAAATCTACAGAGCACGGGAAAAACTTCGAGGGGAGACCCCGTTGCACCCATAGCCGGGTACGTCGGTTCATCAATGGCGGGAGAATCGCGGCAACTGGCAACTTTTTTGGAAGGTCTGGAAATACCGGAGATTGGAACATGTCAAAACAGCCGACTTTTAACCGATAGGTCTAGGTATCCAAACCTTTTAAACACTGTTTCGTCGGAAGAACAAACAGTGAACGTTACCATCGCAGTTCTGAAAAGGTTGGGGTTTAGTTATGTTTCAGTAGTCAACAGTGAAGAGGAGATGTATAAACTACTGAAAGATGACTTTGTGTTTGCTGCAAACCGGCAGGGGATTTGTATTGCGACAGAAGTGGAGGTAAAACGTTTCCATGGAAGCGGGGATTACGACAAGACGATTACGTCACTAAAAGAGCACGCTGAAAAGGGAGCAGAGGCGGTTGTGCTGTTTCTACCGTCCGCGCAGGCGCGAAGCCTTATTAGCGCCACCTCGCGGAGCAGTACCATCGGCCTGTTCACGTGGGTATCCGCTCTTGGTCTTGAAAACGACAACGCCTTCTTTTCAACGAACGTGACCTTGAAACACGCCACAAGGGGGGCGTTGAGGCTGGAAACAGAAGTGGCAAAATCGCAGGCGTTTGAAAACTACGTGTCGTCTCTAACCCCGGGACAGAACACGAGAAACCCCTGGTTCAAACCGTTCTGGCAATACCTCTTCCAGTGTGACCTCCCCGGGACTGTGGCCAAATATGGTAGGCAATGCGGGAGTGACTCGCGCGTCGTGAACTTTGACTTCTTGGACGACGGCTGCGCGCTGAGCACCATCAACGCAGTTGTCTCCATGGCGAGGGGGATACACCAGTACTGGAGGGAAACGTGCTCAACACCCGGTCTGTGCGACGCGTACTGGAGTTCGGTGGGAAGGTTACAAGAAATCGTGGAGAAAATCAAAGCTGTTTCGTACACAGACGAGAGCGGAGGTATATTCAGATTCACGCCCAGTGGTGATGCGGCGGCCAGGATGAAGATTCTCAACTACCAGAGGCAAAGTGGAGGATCCTACGCCTACAAAGAAGTAGGTCCAAACGTCAGCTTAGTCACTCATTGGTTTGATTTTTTCCATGGCTTATCATATGATTAAAACGTATTCCTATTATGTCTTTGACCAAGAATATACTTTGAAGTGTAATACTTTTTTCTTTCTTTAAAAGTTTAAAACACCACTGAGGTTGATCTTTTCCCCTACAGGTTGGGACTTGGACGGACAACACTCTCCAGTTGACGCCGTGGACCGTTCGCGCGTACGCCGCGGACGGAGGGGAGCGCCGCCCGACCTCCGCCTGCAAGGACACGTCCTTCTGTCCGCAATGTACCAACGTCCCCTCCTCAAAACCCACCGGCATCAACGCGACGAGAAACGTGTTCGCGCCCATCACCGACCTGGAGAGTCTGTGGGGGTTGTTAGTGGTTGTAGCGGCGGGGTTGGGGGTGGCTATCATGACCATTTTTACGTGCTACGTGACGGTAACGTTACAGAGCATTCAGACAAAGCGCTCGTCAACTGCCCTGGGGTATTTGCTGCTGGTGGGTATCCTACTGATGTTCGTGACGGTGGTGTTCTTCGTCATCGAGCCGACGGACGCCGTGTGCGGGCTGCGCCGCGCGGGTCTCGCACTGGCGTACGCCGTGTGCTTCGCCGCCATGTTGGCTAAAATCGCGCGCACTGGAATGGCGCGGCCCCCTAGCAGCCCTGTCATGTTCGTCATCGCTCTTCTACTGATTTCCGTACAGGTAGCCGTGTCGGTCGAATGGCTGATCCTAGTTCCCCCCAAAACCGTCTACACGGTGGTAAACAAAGATAACAAAGTCGAGTACATCTTTCAGTGCGCAGTCAGAAAAGAATCCCTCATTCAATCCCTCACTTATGTCATGTTCTTAGGACTTCTAACCCTCATCTTTGCCATAGTGAAGAGTACCCGTAGAGAGAGGACTTCTGAGATCATTTGTATCAGTAATAGTGCCTGGTTGACGGGTTTTATCCTTGTAGCGTGGACGATCATGCACACGCTGGGAGCTACGTCATTGAAGAAGGAACATTGGCGCGACCCGGCCGTGTGTATAGGACTGGTCATAACCGGTTGGATCCTTCTGCTGTTCATGTTCATACCAAAGTTATGGACGCTTGCACGGCTGAAGAGAAGGCATCACCTGAGGAAGGTAAACGCCGAGAACCAGCGCCGCGCGCGCGCCGTTAGCCACCCGCCTCGTCAAAACATTGTCAACGGCAACGCAACGTCCAGGTCCCGCGGCAGCGACAACAGCAGACCCTCCCAACCGCCTCTGTACGGGGACGTGGCCTAGCCGGGTCCGCCGGGAGCGCCCCCTGTCTACTACTACAGGTTCTGCCACCGCCAGGCCAAATCTAAGTACTCAGGTGGTCGGGAGGATCTGCTCTTCCAGTGGTGACGAGTGTCGTCTGTCAGTCAAATCACTAACAAAATCCCTTCGACCTATCCATAATTAATATGGCAGTGTCTTTTTCTAACTTCTTGTTGAATGCTAATTATATCTACAATTTTTGAAACAGATACTGTAATTATCTTAAATATGACTAATTACTAACGATACTGACACCGTCACTACTGTTGATGCCATGTACAAAACATTAACTTCTAAGGTAAGAAAAACAGGAACAACTAACACACATTATTTTATCTCACTAACGAAATCGTTTTCTTCATCCGAGTTTTTTTGCCTTGGACGTTGCCGCGCCATCGACATTATTTTGATGATTGCCGCGTTACCTTTTGTTCAAGTTGTTTGAAAAGAATAAAGAATACTTAAGATAGAATTAATGTTTTATACACGTATCATAGAAAAGTGATGATTTTTGTTCATGACACAGAAAAATCAAAGTATTGATGTTGAAGAGGTTTGATTACGTTTAATCAAGAAGATTAAATCTCATTGAACCTCCTATAGTTTTAAAAGAGAAATTGTCAAGGTCAAATAAGTATGAGGTACAACATTGTAATTACATGTACATTGTATTATGAATCTAACATGCGATTTTAAAACAAGTGTTCTTAAGAAAACTGTTTAAAATGCTTTATAATAAGAGAAGTGTTTCAACTTCATCGCCTTTATTTCCAAAGGAAGTCTGTGTATACTGTTATGGATTATAAAAAATATAATGGTATGTTTTAAGATAGTCCAATAACATCATTGGATAGTCATATTCTGAACTAAAGCCGTCAAGAAGAGAAAAAATCCATCAATGTCACAATAATCATCGTAGTGGTCTAGAAAATGCTAACTTAATAAAGTTGGAAAGTAAAAATTAGTTCCTCCAATAGTTTCTTTATTTTTGCTATTTACATTTGTAGGTCTTTGCATTCATAAGAAAAAGAGTTAGTTAGAGTTGTTTCCTAAGCCTAAGAAGATGCAATGTTTATTCTTAGGGATTATTTTCTAATATGGCCTTTGCATGAAAAGAAATACACAAATGCCTACCACCTTATTAGTTATCTCATACATTCACACACAAACACACACAATAAAAAGTACAGAAAGAAATCCACTATTTATTGCTGTCACAATTATTTCACAAAGTAGTCTCCATACCTTTAATTCACTGCATTAGAAATCATCATGACATTTGCAAAAATTATCAGACAACTCCAGCTGTACAACTCTATATACAAGCAAAACAAAACTATGAAAATTTCATATCATAGAAACCCAAGTCATTGAAATCTATTATTATTAGGTTTTAGATTGTTTTTCACCACTGAAAATTTACAATACATGACTTGTATAATGTAGACATGTTCCCAGTATATGACACATATGTCACATTACAGTACACTAACTACATAAATTTCCCCATATTGGTAAGCGCACATTTTGTATATAAATACTAAGGATGTTATATCAATGATAAATACCTATTCCTGAACTATAATCTTCATATGTGATGTAAATTCCATTTTTAGCAATCAAGCTTGAAAAAATCAACAATATTGTTTAATCCCTTTCCAAACTTCTACTTACAGTACTTGAAATCCCATTCTAGTAAAAAATGTACATGTTTTTTTTAGAAGTTCTCAAAGTTGGCTGCATCTCATTTACAACTTCGTTCTCCTATTGTGAGTCTTACACATCAGGACTCTGAGGTGGTTGTGGGGAGGGGGGCTCTATACTGATGGACACTTCTGAAGTCACAGCAGATATCCCAGATGATGCTCTCTGTTTCTTAAACCCTCTGGGACTGCCTGAACTCGACGTCTTGTGCGTTCCCTTCGGACTGGTCTTCTGCGTGGGGTCGTGACCTTCCTCCGAGGGCTCGTGTTTCCTCCAGAACTCCTCGACCTTGATGGAGATGTCCTCACCTTCCTCCCGCAGTTCCCGCTGCCACTGACGCAGCTCCTGAACTTCAGGGTCTCTTCTTGTCTGTAAGAAAACACAGGTATGAGACCTGCTCTGAAACTAATGTCCATCCCATTTACTGTGTCTGACCTTTTGGCATTCTGTCATTCTGCCTGTCAATTTTCCCTTACCAATGTGCTGTCAAATTCACCCCATTTCCTGTGTCTGACCTAATATTTCTGGGCAAACAGACGAACAAACCTACAGCTCATCAACCCAGAATGATTAATTCATACCTGAAAATAAATACTGTACAGTAGCTCAAGACTGTATAAATTTTACTATAATGTCCACTTTTAGTTTTCAAGAAAAGAATACTGAAAATTTCCCCCGGATAGTATTATAATAGAACAAGCACAGCTGTCAATCAAAATTATCATCATAGCCAAAGATAGAGTTGCTGCACCTGACTGTAGTTTCAATCCCACAATGCAAGATTGTAGATCTCCCACCAATGTTCAGATAACCTTGTACTTACCAGGTATCCCCTGAAGAATGACTGGATAATGGTGGCAGCTTCTTCATCTGACAACAGCAAGGACAGGGGCAGTGGGGGGCGGGGACTAGAGGGGATTGATGAAAACAAATACCGGCATATCAGTTGAAGGAAAAAGAAAAGTTGTTTTCTTTACAATAGATATTAAAAATACAATAGAACAGCAGGAATTTTACAGGTTCAGAGAATTTGAAACAGATTGGTTGAATAGGGTTTTGTTCTATTTTGTAATATTGTTTAATAAATACATTCCATAATTATAATTTGTTTAATAAATTTGAATACTTACTGTTCCTCCAACCAGCTTTTGACAAACGGAATTTCAAGGAGTGTGATGTCACCTCTGTCCCCTGCATATTGAGGATTCATCCTATAAAATGGGTATTGAAGACACAAATGACATTAGCATACATTCTCATAATGCTAAAGTAACATATCCTGGACATTTCTTTTTAGTAAGCTTACATACAGAGTACACTTGAATTGATCTGATCCTTTTGAACATCAATTGCAATAATAAACAACGAAAAACACATTTCCTTTAAGTCAAATTCATGAGGCTGACACCAAATATGAACTCACTTGTACAGCCACTCTGTGAGGAAGTCACAGGCGTTAAACTTGGTTCTCTTCCTCTCGAAGCACCTCTGAGTCTTAGCTTCTCTCAGCATCTCCACCATGCCTGGCAGCAGGACTGGGAAGATGTAATGTTCCAGATACTCTCGTGGGGAGCCTGGGCAGAAAAATTACAATGATGATAAATTTATTGCAAATACATACCTGAATGCTAATTGCAAGTATAATCATGTAACAAAAACGAATACAACGATAATCATATCTTTATAAGGTTCTTAACCTTACAGTTCTGAAAACCCTAACTTAATCTCAGAACATACTAGTGGGAATGTTAGAACTTAGGGCTGTCCTTGGTGCTGAACAAATAACTTAATTATTAATAGGACAACTGAGGTCTTTGGTCCAAATTTGTTCAGTTCACCAGTTAATGTGACATTAGGACATGTCTGAGATGTGTGGTCTGTCACTCACAGTGTGTATGCATATGGCAGAAACTTGCATGAAAGGTAGACTTTGTTTAGAATTCGAACTTCCAGCTGGCCTACAAGTTTGAGGAGGACAACCCCTTCTTTTTGTTGCATGCTTATTATCTTGACTCTCTGACTTCAGTTCTGGTGAGCAGCACTTTAAGATGCTAACTGTGATGGATAGTCAAGATTGGTCCAGTAGAGATTTCACGACCTAAACCTGCTTGAATATGACAATTCAAAGAAGACTTACACAGCCTGGGATCAGGCAGGGGTGTGCTGGGCGGGCTCGGCGGTGGCGGAGGCTTGTCCACGAGGGAGTACCCAACGCACGCGGGGTGAGAGGTGGACGGGTCAAACGACTCGAAAGGGTCGCTGTCCGCGGGAACTTTCGTGAACATCCGTCCGTAGAAGACGGGGTTGTGCTTGGTGGCATCGTACTGAATCACATCAGTCTTCACTGACGATGCGTCATCTTCTGGAGGCTCAAAAGGGGGTCTTGTGGCTGCCACTTCTGTAAAAATACCAATGTTGAACAGGAGTTATTATGTTATAAAGTTAAAATGTTAGAATTAGCATTGTTTTATTCATAACAACTAATCAAGAAATTGCCACTTATATTCACTTAACTTATTCAAGACTCAACTACATAATGTAGATGTACTGAGCTGCTCAGCAATAGGATGTCAACCAGGGCTCCAAATACATTTGTACTAGTATTTCCGTGTCTGCGATAGGTTGGTATTTCCAGCCCTGGTCGTGTACTATATATTATTAAATATTATTATAATGATTTATGTAACAAACAGTTGGTATGGTACCGTTTGCAAAGAAAAGTACTTTGACTATGAGCCTATGAGTCTTAACTACCGCTATGTCATCGATTAAGAACTTAATGGTGAAAACAATCCATGAGAATCAACAGTTTTTGCCTTAGACAACGGAGTTTTGACTTTTGCACTTATAGGTACAAAATCAAGTTTTATGTCAAGATCGCTCAGCAATACGTAACATAACTTATATCTATGGTAACCTATGTTGTTCCTTTTGTATTTGTGCTCGTAAAATGCAGTTAAATCTGTCCCTACCTGCACATATTTGATCCCAAAGACTGATCTCTTTCTTCTCTCCGATAACTTTCGCCGCCATCTTGAATCTTTGTTGATGCCTTATAACGGACAGGCCCCATCACATAACCATCCGCTTGAAGAAAAATAAGCTAGAAAAGATGGGATCATAATCGTCTCTTTAGACGTTAGATGACCAATAATAAATTCAATGTTTAATAACATGTTGTATTTGCAATATCTATGTACATATCATACAGAAATAACTATGATTCAGGCAATTTGACACTGTGCGGAAGGATATTTTACTGTGTTGTCATGGCAACACCTTTCGGTCAAGTAACTGGGTCAAAGGTTGTCCAACGTGACAAGGCAGCAGGATGTTCCCCACAAATGTGATACGTTAAAAACAGCCTTGTAAAATACTCTTTTATCAAGTAAAATAGCAACAAAAATAGAATTATTTTATTCAAATGTGTGTAGGTAATGTTTTTTATACATGTGGAATTTATTCTTTCTTTGCCTTCATGTTGTATTTAGTCAGTTCTGTCGCCCTCACAGCATGTTGGACATGTGTGTGCGTGTTGGCATGCGGAGCTCATTTGATCTTTTTGGCGATTTTTATACATCCTAAGACGATATCTGATAGTCGACTCGGAAGTCAGTACAAAGTACAGGATCGGTGCCTTTCACTAGCCGATATTTGCCTTCCAACTCAAGCGCAGTCTGCAATATGAGGTGAGTTGACTTCTTGGTTGACTGTTCGGAACAGAGTCGAACATGTGTTGCCCCCCTCCCCCTTTAGTCGGCGGTGCTTTTGTTGCAGAAATTCTGCTACGGACAGGGGATTGGGTCACATATTGCAGTTATTGCAAGAGTACACTGCCTTTATTACCTGGTTGACCAAAGCAGAGGGCTATCGCTGCAAGTAGGCATCTAGAGGAACACACTCTAAGGTTTGTAAGTTGTGTAGTTTATGTAATACATTTTTATTGTTTTAATTATAATTACCTCCGGGTAGGGATGTATATCCCGAGCGCGGAGGTTTTGTGAGGGAAGACGAAAATTGCGTTCGCACCCGTTTCTCGCGTTTGGGTGGACGGATATGTCTGGGACTTGGTATACGTTTTGCTGTTGGGCTGTAGATGGTGCACGTTGTTTTGGTTTTTTAGTATGTGTGTTTTAGTGCGTGAAAATGATGCGTTTAGACCGCCGATGGACACCCCTTTCAGTGTGAAAGTGGACCTCAGCTTTTGACCTTTGCATGTATAAGGACGATTGAGGTCGCGACCACTGATCTGACCTTTCACACAGAGGGGTGTCAGCATTGTCGATAAATTCTTTCTTTGAAACTGTTCAGATGTGAACCACATGTGCCGTCAATCAACGTCTCATTATCGTGCCTGGTGGGACCCGCTGGGGGGATACTTTAGTACGCGTTCACAGGACACGTAATCGGCACTTCCTGGTTAGCCAATGGGTCAGGGGTCAACGTACTGTTGCGCAACCTTTGTGTTGGTTGTTTTCGGCGTATATTACGACTTCTAACTTACAAATACCGCGGATTCAGACCTTTACTTCCCCAATTTATACGAAGAATCGGCGGAAAATGGAGGAAGTGACAATAAGGATGACTTGCACATGCGGGGAGGTACTTCAGCAGGCCTTACTTACATGTTAGAAGGGTAACACGCGCACCGGACGATTGGCGGCTGGCGCCCGGAGCGGGTGTTTGTTTACATTATCGCTGGTCGCTGAGGGTCGGGCAGCCAGATTCGCCACGGGATGCCTCCTGTCCTTTCTATTTTTGGGCTCCAGTCGGCTAGGGGGATTAGTGATTTCACAGATCATTTAGCCAATTACAAACATTTCGAAACTTTTCGAAAAAATGGTATTCGCGCGAATTCACTAATTTAAAGAATAGTCCCAACATGCACCCAACATTCTGCAACACACATTTCAATACCCGGAGGTACAAAATCTACGATTTTCCTTGTTGTAAAATACTAGTACTTTACTTCAGCTGTTGAAGGCTGCTACAGTATGATATATCTTGAAAATAATTTTCATTTTACATGATGGCTACAGTATATGGTAAGATTATTATGTCATTAATTAACCTACATTCTGTCATGTTTTTGTTACAGGTTATAATGGGTAAGAAGAAGGTTTTAGATCAAGATTGTGAGATGAAAGTCGACAAAAAGGAAAAGAAGACAAAACAAGCAGTCTGTGACAATGGTGCAGAGAAAGCAGTACAAAAAAGTTCCAGTCACGAAAAGAAGAAAAAGAAAAAAGATAAGCAAGTAGAATCACCAACCCAACATGACAAAAAAGGTGGAACCAAACAGGACAAGAAGTCCAAGAAGAGGAAGGCAGTTGAAGATGTGATCATAATCGAAGATGAAGCCATGAAAAAATCACCAAGTTCTAAGAAGAAAAAGAAGAAACAAGATACGCAAGTAGAAGCTGTATTATCAACTAAAGGGGACAGTCCTCTTACTGATGAGATAAAACCTAAAAAGTCTAAAAAGAGGACAGAAACAGAGGATGTCACTGTTTTCGAACATGCAGGGATACAGGAGGAACTTGCTAAGAAGACAAAGAAGGCAAGTAGAAAAGAGAGAAAAAAAGAGAAATCATCTGCAGCTGTTGAAGAAGGAGACAAAACAAAGAAGTCCAAAAAGTCCACGAAGAAGAAGAAAGGAAAGGATGCCACTGTGGTAGATGATGATGAACCAAGCTCAAAGATAAAGGAAGCAGATCCATCTGTTGTAGCTGAGTCTTTGGAAACGCCTGACGGCCTCCAAAATGGCAGTGATGCAAAGCAGAAGAAAAAATCCAGAAAGAGAAAATCAACTGAAGACAAGGTGGAGAATGCCGAGGTGGAGGGTGAATCCCAAGAAACGAGTACCAAGAAACGAAAGAAAGAAAAAGAGAAACAATCTCTGTCACACTCAGAGGATGGCACTACTCATGCCAAAGATGAAGGTGGAAAATCTAAAAAGAAGAAAAAGAAACAAAAAGATGACAAACCCCACAGTGTAGGTGATGTTGAAAAGTTGGATAAAACAGAAAGGAAGAAACAAAAAGAGAAGAATCTCAAAAAGTCAGAGAGCACTTCTGACACGGAGAGACCTAAGAAGAAGAAAAAGAAAAAGCTTGAACTTTCTGATTCCATGGAAAAGAAACCCCAAAAGGCTGACATTAAAGACTCAATGATTAACTCTAAGTCTACCTCCAAGACAGATGTCAAGTCTGAAAAGAAGGCAAAGAAGAGAAAGTACAAGGAAATAGAAGAAGTAAAAGAAGATAAGCAACCATCTTCATCAGAACCCAAAGCTAAGAAGGACAAAAAGAAAGAGAAAAAGAAAAACACCAAAGGCAATGCTGAAAACAAGGAACATGTTAACAGTGCGGCATCCTTAATAACTGTGAAACAGGAAGTCAATGAAGAAAAGGTCCCATCTAAAAGAAAAAGAAAGTCTTCAGAAAGTTGGGACTATGGCAAGTACACAAACAATGGCAAGACAAAACAGTACGGATCTGTGGAGTACACAAATGTAGGGTTCAACTATGACAACAGTGGTGACGACAATGTGACGGTTGTGAGTGTGAAAGAGGGGAACCCAGATGGACTGGGAGAATTGGAGAGAGAGAAGAGAAGAGAGCTGCAGAAAGAGGTAGAAACAGTGACAGGGAAGAGAGAAGATGAACAGAAAGAAAAAATCAAGGGAACCGAAGTGAGTATACATTCAACATATAGGTCTAATGGTGTTATCTTTAGGCCAGAAACAAATCAACCAAATCTTGATTGCTTGGAATGCAAGATGAAGACACAAAAATGAAAGCAGTTACATGCAAATTAGCTTTTATTTCACATATGTTGCGTACCATAGATACATGTCAGGTAGAGTTAGTCTTCTCAGTTAGGAAAGAAACAGTTTTAGTTTGCTATGGTAGTACAAACTTGCATTGATAATGCTGGGGTCACATTTCCGAGCCGGGGCCCGGCCGGGCTGTTTCGATTAACGAAAAATCAACAATTTTCATCAAGAATATACGTAAATAGTTCCATTGTTGGTATTTTTCAACCTTTCTGTGCTTTGTTGCGTTTTATACCGTATTTTTCGTTTCAAATGACTGCCCGGCCGGGCCCCGGTTTGGAAATGTGACCTCAGCTTAAGTTAATAAAAGGTGTTATTTAAAAGAAATTCTGAGTCACCTTTAAGTTAGTGTTTTTGCTGACTTCTTTTATTTTATTTTCTAATCTTTCAGTCACCAACACCCATTGTGAAGACAGGGCAGTGGTCCACTGCCTCACTTGGTAGTGTAGAGAGGCAGCAGAAATTCTTCAGGCTCCTGGGAGGCATGAAGAGCACACCTGACAAGGACAACCAATCAAGTGCCGCGAAGAAAACCCCACTGGGACACAACCAATCACCTTTCAGTTTCAAGAAATCAACCAGCCAATCAAATTTCAGTTCAGGCTCACCCCATTCCAGGATGGCCATGGATAAGTCGGAAGAGTCTAGCGTAAATAAAATGCTAGAAACACAGTTTCAAACAGCAATGGACAGGAAAGTCACCAAAGGAAAGGTGTCAGGATTGGGATATATTGCCCAAGAGGATCCAAAGACTAAGTCATTCTTTATTGATAAGAATGCTTCTAAATCCATTAAATTTGATGATTAGCATAGTTTAGATGCAGTAAAAGACTGTTGCTCAAAATTTAAAAAAAAGCATCTTGAAAGAAAAAAATTCAATCCGAAGTCAGTTTACCATCAAATAGCAAGGATTCACTAGCATCCAGACTGTAAGCATTACAACTCAACTTTGAGCTGTGCAATCTGTAATTTAGTGTAAATCTATTACAGCATTTGTGCCTTGTATGTTTGTCAAAATTAAAAGACATAGTTTGTATTTGAAAGCTGTATTGTTGTATACACACATGTAGGATTTCACTTAGTGGACAGCCGAATGAATACTTGACTAGTAGATGCTAATAAAATGTGCAAAAATTAGATTTTTTAAATATTTTTTTGAATCAGTTCTACTGTTTTTGTGAACAATCGTGAAATTAAACGTAAAGTAGGAAAAGTGATACATGTACAAATGCATATGCTGCTTTGGCAATAACATGACATTTTACATGTATTTTGAAAAAAAAAATGTCTTAGTTTTGTTAAGTAAATATTAGACCTGACTTGTTCTTGTATTTCAATTCATGTCACGTAACGGTTTATGTTCTTGCACAGGTACAACTGCATGAGTTTGTGTAAACCCTGTAAAATAGCTATAAAAGAATTTTAGGATATATTATAAATATAAGAATTACAAATTACTGTATCTCTAGGCTCACCTTTGTTCTACTAGAGGATCCAAAGACTAAAATCATTTTTCATGGATAAGAATGCTTCTATACATCCATTAAATTTGTAAATTAACACAATGATACAGTAAGGCCATGGCACGTAAATTTAATGGATGACATCCTCTGCAGACTCCAAATTTAATGTGATAGGGCGAAAACAAAACAAGGCGGGCAAAAAAAAACAAGATTTCTACATTTTCAAATTTTGACATCATAAACCTTGTTAATAAATTGCTTTATGTTGTGTTTATGTTATGTTTATGTTATATTGTTTATGTGTCCCTGGGCCCTCTTGGAAATCAAGAATTTTAATGTTGTAGAGGCCACCCAGATGTTTACAAGATGAAATAAATAAATAAGAAATGATACATATAGTGTGCTAAGTTTACTGCCAACTATTATAACATCCATTTCTCACTGAAACAACTTTGAAAAATAAGTTCACAATAATCGTACAAATGGTTTTCATTCAGTGGGAACATCACATGTACACAGCCACCATCGCATATAATGAAATACATCACTGCATCAAAGTAAAAGACAAAACATTAAATCAGAGCCTTGTCTTGTCTCCTCTCTTCATATTTATCTGCCATCCACGTTCCGGCATGGCAACAGACGTCTTTGCCCATTTTTTTGCATGTTGACCACTGTCAGAAGCCAACAAAATTTGTTTCTTAATTTTTTTTCAAAATCAGGTGAAAATCAATGCGCGCTTATGTCATCCATAGAAATACTTGCTGTGGCCGAAAGGACTGATGCTCAAAATGTGGAAAAATTCAATTCTCCAGTCAAAATACACCTACAAAAAGTGAAATCAGGCCTTAAATCACATAATACTAAATAGCCTCCACCAGTCTCCGTGAGGCGGCTAAGCGACTCTCTTGTAGACCAACTCCCCTGGCATGTTATCCCTCTATTTGGTCAATTTCTACTCTTTCCAGCCGCCTACCAAAGCCTGACAGAGGCTACATAATACGAGCATTCTTCATAAGTATATCTCAAGAGCAGCAACTAGAGTTCCACGATCTAATTCCTTTGCTATTATAAGTAATGTTTACCTTTAAGACTAACAAATATCAAATTTTCTGCATTTGCATGAAAATAGTTGATCACATTCTTCACCCAATAGCAGCCTTATCGTAACAAAGAAGGTCATTCAGGATTTTGTGCATACATTATCAAAATGAGGTCCTGATTTGAATAAGTTATGTTGAATGACATTATAGCATTTTTCAATATGTTCTCAAATTAGACTTTCACTTACATAATCAATATCTGGTGATGTTCCTCTTCTTAATTACGCTTAATATTTTGTATAGTCCTATCATGGAAAGTAGCAGATTGATAGAATCCGAATTCTCATTAATTATGCAAATTAGGTCTTGATTTCCAAATTTGACATTTAATTTTGACAACTATTTTTTACGCTACCTGCACACCAAACATCACACTGATCCGTCTACAGGTTCTTGAGTTATCCTCCTCCAAGTATTTTTCAAGAAATGCTCCTGCAGTTCCAGAACAAGCTACAAGAGAAGCCAAAGCAGAGCAAAAATTACAATGTCCAGATCAGGAGATATCAAGACGGGAATTTCAGCTGCGGTACCATTGCAAGCCGCTAGGGGGACAAAATTTCAATCATTTTGAGGTCTCATCAAGACCTACCTACCAAATATCAAGACAATCTACCCAAGCCTTCTTGAGTTATCGTGTTTACAGACAGAAAGCACAAACTTCGTGGCGAATGACTGCGAACAAACGCGAGGATCAAAGCAATACTTCCCAGCGGAAGGATATCTCCTTCCCCGGAGGTAGAAATGCATTAGGGTTAAAGACGCACCATTTGGCGTGGAAAGACAGTTACAGTTTGGGTACGTGGGCTAGTCACCACCAGTTCTCCATCTGGTCCCATAGCGATACCCCACGGCTCTTCCATGGTCGCGATGGTACGGATAAACTCCCCCCGGCTTGTGAACATGTCCACCCGGTTGTTACTATTCGCCACGATGATGCGACCAGAGGTGTCCAGACAAATGCCTTTTGGAAAACGCAGTTGGCCCTTACCTGGTCCATGTATTTTTCCAAATTCCCAACTCTGGACTCCGGAGGGATTGTACACCTTGACGCTTTTTTTCCCATCCGTCAGCAGGACATTTCCCTCCCTATCCGATGTGACTCCCTCGACAAAAGAACCTGGCAACTTTGAACTCCAATAGAGAGTTCCATTTGGATGAAACATCATGATTCTATCTTTCTCTCCCACTATAATTTTATTGTTGCGCACGTCCATTGCAATGGCAGGATAGAAAATCGTGGAGCCTACGTCGAACTTGTTGATTAGCCGGCCGTTCGTACTGTACCGTACGACAACATCATAGAGCTTGCAGTTTAAATGTCTTTTACTCTGCCCCACCACCCACATGTAGCCAGGGTCAACGTCAAAAGAAACACCCGAAGGGTGCATGTACACGGTCTTACATCCACCCATTTTCTTACATTCACCAGACACGATCGTTGGGAAAAGGCGGAGATAGGCCCCATTTATGCTGAAAACTTGGACTCGTCTGTTGTAAAAATCAGTCACAAATATCTCGTTGTCAGCAGATACAGCCACTCCGTAGTTGTTTGAGAATTTTCCAGGTCCCGCTCTCCATCCCGGTCCACCAAATGTGATCTTCTCCAGCTTTCCGTCACCACCTTTTGCCATGAGTAAGAAAAAGTATTTTACGGACACACACACACACACACACACACACACACACACACACACACACACACACACACACACTGGTACACACACTGGTCTCATAGCACATTGTCTCATAGCACAGATGGACCAAGTTTTAAACATTGTCTCATGAAAAAAGGGACCAAGTTTGAACATTGTCTCTTAACATAGAGGGACCAGGCTTGAGACATTAAAGTCTTTCAACATTGTCTAATAACATAGAGGGACTAAGTTTAAGATATTGTAGAATAACAACGACGGGCCAAGTTTAAGACATTTTCAAATGACACGGAGGGGCCAGACTCAAGACATTGTTTAGTGACACAGACGGGCCAGACATAAACCTTCCTAGCAAAAACACACAGACGAACATTCGTGTTAGACTCACCTTTTTTGCGTGGTGAGTTGTTGGAGACTGCTGGGAGCGTGGGGACAGAACTACAGCATCCAGCAGCAGCATTTTTAGTAGTAGCAGCAGTAACAGCAGAAGTAGCAGCAGTAGTAGTAGTAGAGGCAGTAGTAGTAGCAGCAGCAGTAACAGCAGTAGTAGTGGTAGCAATAGTAGTAGTGGTAGCAGCAGTAGTAGTATCAGCAGTAGCAGCAGTAGTAGTAGTAGTGATAGCAGTAGTAGTAGCAGCAGCAGTAGCAGCAGCAGTAGCAGCAGCAGTAGAGGTAGTAGTAGCAGCAGCAGCAGTACCACCAGCAGCAGCAGCAGCACCAACAGCATTAGCAGCAGTAGTAGTACTAGTAGTAGCATCCGCATTCGCATTCTGCTGTTGGTAGAGAATTGTATTGAGGTATCGTAAGTGGTTCGTCGACATCATAATAAACTATTTGAACCCTGTCTGAATTTGATAGCTGCTGGCCGATGTCAACGTATTTTCCACCAAACTGTATTGGAAGTTAAGAAGTTCAGTGAGGAATTGAGTCTTTCAAAAGTAACATGAAAATCTGGAAAGTTTCCTTACCTGCGAAACCACAACATTATAAAGTCAAGTCTTTTGTGTATAAAGCATCTGTTTATTGTTTTGTCATTCTCGACTAAGGTGGAGTGTGACTTTTTAAAGTAACTGTTAAGGCAATGCGCTTCGCAACAGTTTGCATATGTATACAAAGGATATTATCTAAAAAAATGATCTTAGGAAATGGTGAAGAAAGTGACAAGACTATTGGACAGAGGCGTACCTGTGGTGGGCTGGTGCTGAAGTATAACCAGAGAGAGATCCCGCTGACGATACACAAGCCAAGAACGGCAGCCGTCATGACCGCTAGGCAGACCCAGGGATGACGCATACATCCTGAAATATTGCAGATTACAGAAATTGAATTGGATCTGAGAGTGTTGTATCAGCAAGGAACAGTTAGTAAGCGTATACGATACAACATAAACAAAAAATAAGACAAAGGTGAATGTTGTTCTCATGTAAATGTAGGATATACTAATCTTGTTGCATTGTCTCATAGTTATTGCCATATACATGTATTGTACCTGAAAGGATTGCTAAGCAATTAAGGTTATGATTTATAGCATCATAAAGTTTATGATTTGTAGCATCATAAAGTTTATGACACTACAAATGTATTGTTTCTATATTTATTTGTGTGATACTACGTTCTCGTTCTCCAGGACAGGGCTTCATAATAAAGCATATGTCATTTTTGTCCAATATCTTACTGTATGTAAATGAATATTGTATGAATAAATCAATAAAGTTCTTACCGCGCGCTGCAGGCTGTTGGACGTTTGGCACGTTCATCTGATTTGGTACATTCGGGTCATCATTGCCGGACGGGTTGGTTGCGACATCATTGATGCTGTTAGAAGTCAGTAGAGTGTCTCCTGAAGTTGTTCTGCATACAACTTCACCCTGGACCATGTAGGCGATGGCATACGGCTGAATGTCCTCACCATCAGGGGCGGTCATGCTTTTAGCCGCAGCGCCACCTGTCGAGTGTAGGTTATTACTTGTTCTTTATTTATTTATTCTTTGCTTCAGGCCAAAGGCCCATATAAAAACAGGGACAATACAAAAACAAGTACAAATACAGAAATTACATACAGATGTTTGTAATTACTGCAACTATCGTCATCTTCTTGGTATTTAACAGCATAGGGCTGGACGACATCACAGTTATATATACCTGATTTGACGACGTGGACATCATGTTCTTCGCAGTATGAAACTGCATATGGTCGGATGCAGCGCTCGCCGTCGTAAATGTGTTTTGGCATTGTGGTTGAGGCTGTCTGACTATGAAGGCAATGGCTGGCGCCGTTGTTAGCTGGCCAAAACGTCTTCAGAAACGTCTTCTGCTTTTTTAATGATCTAGATAATAGTAAGACGAGGACAAATTGACGCTGCACTCAAATCTTAACACTCAACTTATCTTAATGCCCGCGGAGCCCATATTTATGTGGGTTGCACGTACCGTGAGTACCATCTATATAGCGCCCTGTATATGTACGAGTTGGGGTGCATTGTGCACTAAAGGTGTTACGTGGTTCACAGTGCACTGTTACTTGGTTCACAGTGAACTTAAGCTAGTTTTTACTGTTGATGCATTTCCGAACGTAGGCATTGTTACATCATAAGGACGTACGGAAATGTTGTTCACAGTAAAACAATACGGACGGTTGCAATGTTTCTTTTATGAAAGAGAACAAAATTACCATACAAACCATGGAGGTAAAAAATCACAAAGCAACCAATTTCTACAGGAAATCAGTACAGCTAATCATCAAGCAAACATGAAATATCATTTAAACTGGAATTACTATCATTAAACGGTTTAAGGATTCAGATATAATGTACTTACACAAATGTACAGAGAGGGTTCTGTGAGCGGCTTCTCTGGAGGGCGAACTGAACTCAATGGCACACTAGAGACTCATTTCAAGGAGATAATATACATATTAAAAAAGCATGTACCATAAATGATACGCCCTCGCAAAGAAATCTTCTCTGATATTGTATAGAAAATCAAGGTATTGAGCATTGTGCTCCCTAAAAATGGCAACACTGTAATTTTGGACTAGCCCAACTTCTTCGTCTGTAGACCTGCCTTGTGGTTTGGGAAAATTTCCCACGGCACTAGGCTGTCCCTCCCCCAGAGAATAAAAGTGGACTAGCCCAGGGAGCTGGCAGAATATACATGATTGAACCTGATTGAGCGGGACCTTGCAGTGATGGGTTGCAGATGGAAGGGGGCGCATTGTCAGACAGAATTAATTCATTTCTATGTAGATGAAACAGTGTACGTGTCCTCTTCTGACACCACACAGAGGTTTAGACTCCCTTTTGTCGTGTTTTGGGCCTTTATGCAGGGTTTCGTTTTAGTACTGGTTTCTTTTTTGCGCCAGTATTGAATACTACCCTACCAATGATACTCTCTTGCCAATGTACTATTGTCTTGCCAATTTGATACGTACTGTATTGCAGCCACCAAAAAAATCGCACTAAAGTACATCGTGCACTATTTAGCGCACTATGCACCGTTACATGGTGCATAGTGCACTAAAGGTGTTACATATTTATGAGATGGTATTAAAACGTGAAAGATTCAGACATGCTGTACTTTTGTGCGTGGCCTGTCTTCAGGGCGAACTGAACTCAATGACACAACAGAGAATCGGTGCCTGGAGACGACATAAATAAATGTTAAATAAACATATACCATAGACGTTATGCCACCGCTTTACACCAGTCTTATCTATAATTATAGAAACATTAAGATATTGGGCATTGTACTTCGTAAAGCAGTATAAACAAGAGTTCCGAGATCTCATACCTCCATGAAATATGGGCTTGACATGTAAATGTAAATTTCTTCTTTAATTATACCTCCACATTGAAATAATAAATGCATCGTGATGTTAACTTTTGATTAACTTACACCACTTTTGATTAACTTACACCACTAAGGAGTCATAGAATTTTCGCATTAATTATGCAAATTAGGTCATCATTTGCATAATTGGTATCTGTTGATGTTCCATCTGCCATAGATTACATACATTACATGTATGAAAGTACTATAATGTAAAACACTGTAATTATAGAATTTCCTCATTAATTATGCAAATTAAGTCATCATTTGCATAATTTGTAGTTAAATATGTACATCTGTCTCTCAGCTACCTACCTACCAAAAATGATGATAATACCTTGTTCCTATCTGGACTTATTGGCTTTTAAAGATTTCGCCCGAAAATCTCCTGCAGTTCCAAAACAAGCTGCTAGGGGGACCAAACTCACGCCACTTATTCCTGACAGGAAAAGCTATCTGTCACCAAAAAGTCAAGACCATAGCATGTTAAGTTCTGCTGCAGTACCAAGGTCATCCACCAGGAGGCCCATATTTGACCTTGACCTTTGTATTCCTAAGACTTACCAGTGTACCAAATATCATCGCAATCCATAAAGGCGTTATGGAGTTATGCTGACTACAAATGTGCGGAAACACAAACACACAGACACACACACATACAGACACACACACACACAGACAGACACGCCTCCATGAAATATATGAGTTTTTGTATACAGTACACTAAGTGTTTCAAACACACAGCTAATCAGGCCTGCAGCTAATACAAACCCTAACCCTGAAATAGGTCACCTATTCCCCTGAGGGAACCCC